TGGGACAATGAGATGAAAACAGTAATGGTATGGAGTATGAAAAATGATGATGACACGCAGAATGTCCCCAAAACCCTAGAGAAAGTGCGCGGCGGCGTGGAGGGCGAAAGGAGCGCAGGGCGGAGGGGTGCATGAGGGAGGAGGGAGAGAGAGAGAGAGAGAGAGAGAGAGAACTGAGCGCGTTGATTCTCAAGAGAGACCGAAAATAGGGACCCCGGAACTAGCAGAGGAACGACAGCGAAGGGAAAAAAATGTCGGTCGGGAAGGGTCCGATCCTGGGCGCCGTAGCGGCGAGCCTGAGGGGGAGGCAGGGTGCCGGCGGGCCTGCGGCGGGCGCCCGGGGTCGTGCTGCGGCCGGTAGAACGGCCCGCCTGGGGTTGGCGGCCCTAAGACCAGATCAGACCGTGTCGCGCGCTGGATCCGCTCTGGTCCCAGGCGCACACCAAACTTCCCAACTTTACAGGATCGACTTGAAACGGATCGACACGACGGCAGCGAGGCGAACCCCGCCGGGCGGTCACGTTAAATTTTTTAAGAGCGGGGAAAAGTCAAAGGGGCCTAGAGCGGCGGTGGCGGCGGAAGGACGGGGCAGCACATCATTCTTTTTAAACTTTCTCGTAAGATGATTCAAGTATCCGGGATCGTCGGAGCGGGTAAACTTTGGGCGAAATGCGGGGCTGGGAAACGACAGAAACAGGAGAGGAGGAAAACTGTTGAGAACTGGGGAGCAGAGCCGAGTCGAGCCAGGGCCCCACCCCGGGAAGGGAGGCGCGCAGAGAGTGATGTGCCAGGCAATTTCCTGGGAGGTACGCCCCGGCCAGGCAGGAGCCGGGCAGGAGCGGGGCAGGAGCGGGGCAGGAGCGGGGCAGGGCGGGGCCAAGCAACGAGAACGACCCATTCCCCACCTATTCTGCATCTTCACCGCCCCAGCCAAGTCGGCGCGCCCTCCGAGAGGCATAAATGTAAAATAACGGGGAGGGGGAGCGGCGAAAAAAAATAAAATTATGAAGTAAAAAACGCGTTAGTTGGCACCAAACAGCAACATTTAGATCAATTATTCAGGCCGCGGCGTCTGATTATGGCGCGATAACGCTCGTCACCGACTGCGCGCCGACAAATAGCACGAGCGAGGGGAGCGCCGCGACACTGCACCTCGACGAGGCGAGGCCAACCTTCATCGAGGGAGCTGCAACGAAAAACTAAGAAGAACGGGCTACAGGGCAGGGACGCCGCCACACTACTACAGCAGGCTTCGCGCTCGCTTCACAGAGATCGAATTAGTGGTGTTTGCCGGGCTGGGCGCGGGGGCGGGCGCGGGGGCAGCACGCCGTGCGACGACTGTCAGGGCCTTGATGGATGCCTCTCAGTCGAGCGCACCCGACCCGCGCGTCCCCAGCGGACCGCGCCGCCGCGCCGCCGCGTGGGCGCAACCCTTTCTCCCACACCTCACACACCCAACAGCCACCACTGAGCAAGCGTTTCCATCCCTTTTATACCCCTTTCCTTCGGCCGCAAACAGTTTCCCGTTGCCCCTTTTTCCCAAACCTCTCCCAGGCTCCGCTCTCCGCCCCCAAGTCCGATTTTCTCCATTTCGCAAACAAGGAAAATGGCCCCCCAGAGTCCGGCGCGGTGGCGGCCGGTGGCTGCCTGGCCCCGCTGCTCTGCCCTCGGGCCACCACCACGGGGCGGCCACCCACCGCCACCGCCGCCCCACTCCCACGCCAGCCCCGCCAGGCCATGGACCCCAACAACCATCAGTCGCCAAATAATCCAATTTCGGTAGCGATTGTAGTTTGTCCGGCGGGCTGGGCTGCGCCGGGCGTGGCGTGGCGGAGGGGCGCCCGGCGCAGCGCAGCCCCGGGATCGGCCGTTAATTACGTTGGCCCGGCGCGGACAGAGCGGAGCGGAGGGAGGGACGCCGACGGCGCCGCGCCCGCCGCGCACAAAATTTTTCACCCAGGTGGTGCCAACAGGAAAAGGGCGAATTTCCTTTGCGCGCGAGCGCGAAGTAAGAAATGAAACGCGCGAGTCCCGCATTCTAAGTTGGAAAGTGAGATAAAAATATACATAGAAAAAAAAGAAGGAAGGGGAAAAAAAAATGAAATGAAACTTATCGGGAGTACTTTCTTGCTCCCTCCCTTGCTCTCGGCACCCCATCCGAGGGGGTGGCGGCGCGCAGCAGGCCCCGTGTAATTAGCACGGGAGCTGATCAGTAATTACTGCGATTAATCAATCCCCCAGAATGGGGCCGGCGGGGCCTGCAAGCGCGGCCTGGCGAGGACTGGTGGGGACTGGCGCATTCCTGGGGCACTCGTCTCGCACTCAGGGCAACACTCGTGGTGACCGGAGCCAGCCCGCGAGCACCCCTTCCACGCGTCGCACTCGGTGCAGCAGCGCGATACAGTACTCCAGTACGGTGGGGTGGCGGCGCGGAGCGAGCGGGGCAGCCAGTGTCGCCCTCCCGGTCCATTCGTTACTGTCAGCCTCCCCCTTCCACGCCCCACCGCACCCCACCTCTCTCTCCTTTCCCTTCCCTTCCCTTCCTCTCTTTCGATTCCAAGGCCTTGAAAGGCTCGTCTGCAGCCCTCCTGAAAAGTGGATCCAACTCCCGGGCAGGCGGGGGCCGCCGGACTAACGAGCAGACAAGGGACTCACTCACCAATTATTGACTTGTAGAATAGTTAGCCCGGTGTCCTGCGCCAGCTGTTTCTTCTGGTCTTCTGAAGGGTACGGATGCTGCAACAGAGAAAAAGAAAAAAACAGAGTTGAAAAATGCGTCGTTTCACAATGTCACACGATGTCATTTCAGGTATCTTCCATTCGATCAGACGACATGCAACTCCTATATACACACATACACATGTACATAAACGGAAAGCCATTTCACTTAGGGGCTACTACCATCGCCGCGCAAAGTACACGCACTAAAACATTCCACGATTATTAACCTTCATCAGGATCCGATAAAATCAAATTGCTTTTCGTCGTTTGTCGCGCTGCGTGTTCGCGTGTGTGCCGCTTTCGTGGCGAGTGACGGACAGGACATCGGATGGAAAAGTAGCAGAGGGTAGGTGGGGGGGAAACACAGAGAGGGGGG